TGGAGAAACTGCAAATCACACTTACAGACAGTACCCAGACTGTGGTGGGACCTATGAACCCCATCCTCCTTCTCGACTGCACATCCATTCCCAGGCCTCAGGGCAGGGCCTCAGGGAGAAGCCCTCCATTTGGGGGACCAGTGATTTCCTCAAGATGAGCCTGAGATACAGGATGGCCAATGAGACGTGAACAGAACCTGCAGGTGAAGCCACAGTGAGGCAGGTATGGGAAAACCCCCTCTCCTGACAAAGCCCCCAAATCTCCCTCGTTCCTCAGGATACTACTTCTCAGCTGTGGCTGCCATCTTGAAACTGTCTAGAGGATGAGGCCAAACCAGAGGTTGGCAAGGTACAGAGAAGAAGAGACTGGATCCTGAGGATTATGTCACCAGTTTTCTACTCAACCCAAAGCCCGTCGTCCCTGAGTTTTCAGCACTGCCCAAGAGTGAAATCCCAGGCAGCTCAACAGCCCCAGGGACGGGAGATGTGAACCCAACACACGAGAGTTGCCTGGTCTCCAAGTCCTTTCTGGCTGGCAATTTTCGCCTCCACACTAGTGAGCTTAACAAACGAGCTCGCCCCACTAGTGAAGCTGCCTCCACTCTTAAGCCTTCCCCCACTGGTGAGCCGCGACTCATCCTTCCTACAAATGGGGCCCTGCACAGGGTGGACGGTCGTTCTAGCTGTCCCAGAAGCCAGGAAGCCGAGAGGAGTGGAAGGGGAAACCTCAGCAGAGGCAGGAGGGCTGGCTCACCAGAGGAGAGTCAAAAAGGAAATTTCCTCTCAGACAAGATTTGCAAAACAGCGTCACTACCGTGTGTCTTCAGATGCTGCTCCTGGGGGGCTTTGTGGGCTTTGGCGCTGGAACTGCTCCGCCCGCTGAGAGGCACTCTGACTGGAACCAGCATCACCAGTTTGGGAACACTGCATCTTATATAACAACTCCACAGGGAGCTTTGGGGGCAGCTGAGCAAGTGGAGCAAGGAAGCCTGCGAGCCTGCTCTGGGCCAAGGCTGCTCTGGAGTGGGCTTCCTCTCGGTCTGGTATCAAGACGGCGGCAGGAATCCTAGGCATTTTAATAATGATCCCCACCAGGAAAACAGCTAGCTTTGCCTTCCATGCCACTCAAGCACTGCTAATGAAAGATGGATGGGCTCTGCATCCAAGATCCCGATGCCCAAAATGACACTGAAGTTCAGGGCGACGTTTTATAGACTGAAGGACAGCCTGCTTGCCCTGAGGCCACTGCAAACCAAGAAGGTGGCTCAACAGGGCCGTGGCTGCAAGGAGTGTGGAGACAACAAGTCCTATATCCCAGGCGTTCCCTGCCGTCCTCTCAAGTCCCTGAACCGTGGGCAGCTTTGGGGAGCACTCTATAGCTCCACGCTCTGTGGAAGCAATGCAAGGCAGCATCTCTGCCCGGACCCCCATCTCTGGAATGACAATTATCCAAGACAAGACGCTCTGATGGAGCCCTTGGCAAGGAGGCCCCACTATCGTCAACCCCCCACCTACTGCTTCCGGCCCCCTCTACTGGCGCTGCTGGCCTGCAGCAGGTTCATGGGCTGGAGAGGAGCTAGACAGGCTTGACCATAGGTCAAATCTCTTATTCAAAAATACCATCAGAAACTCCCAGAAAAAAAATAATTGCAACATATATGATGAAGGTTTGATGCCCTTATGTTACCGTGAACTCTTATAGAGCGATTTTTAAATTTTTTATATTTTTAAGATTTATTTTCTATTTATTTATGCATACAAGAGCTGGAGTGCAGGCCAGAGGGTGGGGGTTGAGAGGATTCACCAGAGACATTGGGGAGCAGAAGAGGCAAATGTACTGAAATACACTGCTGAGGGGAGCAGCAGGGAGACAGGGGAGGTCTGCTGTGTCATGTGGGTAGCTCCCTGGCTGGGATCAGGATCGAACTCAGGCCACCGCAGTGGCTGCTGACAGCTTGATAGCACTGAGACTTTAACCCCTGCACCACCAGAGAGGCCCTCCACATCGAGAGATTTTTTTAAATGAATACACATGAAAGTATATAAAACTGAAAGCCTATGAAAACACAGATGATATTACCACTCACTAATGTTAACAAAATCTAAAAATTAGAAGCATTTGTTTCCTTTTTTTTTTTTCTGTTTCATTTGTTTGTTTTCCTTTGAAAGTGGCAAAGAAATACCATAAGAAGTAGCACTGGCCCTATTAGCACTGTTAATGGCAACGTAAACTCATGGAGCCTGTCTAGAGAGCAATTTGGCAAAATAGAGCAAAAAAATACTTAAAAATATATGTAGTCCTTGAACCAGCAATTCCACATCCAAAAATGTATCCTGAGGCCAGAACTGGAGAAGTGTGCAAGCGACACTATCCACTCAAGAATATTGAACATACCATTGCTCTTGGCAGTTAAAATGTTGGAAGTTACCAAAATGTCTAATGATATTTGGATTAGCTCAATAGATACTGATATGTACATCCATTCTGTATATGCGATCACCAAAGAGCAATGCAGAAGAATACTTCATCAGAGGGACAGCATTAAAAGAGAATTACAAACCATGACGGTCAATGTAAATTTGGGTAATTGTTTGTATGGTATAACTTTGCCTTATCTTTATTTTCAAATTTCTTGTGGACACAGGATACACAAAAGAGATATTCTAAGTATTTAACACCCAGCTTTCAAGAACGAAGAGCTACATTCCCAAACACAGCTGGTCTCAATGCTGGGATTATTTTTATTAACCTCAATTTGTGTGCCGACTACTCACACACAAAGTACTTTTATTAAAATATTTTATATGTCAAATAATTATTTAAATAGTATTAAAACCCTCACATTCATAGCTTTATTAGCTCCTCTGTATGTTTTCATATTTTCCACTTTTTTTATAGTGAAAATGCATTACTTACTTATTGAAAAACAGTCATGCAGTTAAATTAAGAAATAACTAATAGAGTGTGTAGGTATTTTTCATCCTCTCTTCTTTATTCTGCCTTCCTAGCCTCCGACCCATATCTGGTCTTCACCCCAAAAGCCATTCAAGCAACAACATTTTTCAGAAGCAAAGAGCATCTGATGATGATCTCAACAGCCAGATTTTTGTCCTCAATGGGGTGCAGCATCCATGCATCCTCTGAGGATGCCACGCATGGGGAATCAATTTGGAGGCTCCTTAAAGTCCTGTTCACCTAAGTGGTTCTTGCACTGTTTGTGTCAGAATAAATTTCTGTCACGTTTTGGGAGAGCAGATCAACCTGTGAGTACAGGGATAATAAGAGCTAAGGAATTTCCCCTGTTAGCCCAGGTCACCGGTCAGAGGTCACCTAGTATAATAGCTTCTTCCGCATTAAAACCCAGATGAGAAAAGAGTCATGTATATGACAGACTTTCCTGTTTCCCAAAGGTATGTTCTTTGCAGCCCTCCCTGCTGCAGGTAACGAATGTGGGCGGTTAGTACTATGTAACTTCACTTCACTGTCCCCTGTGTGAGACAGTCTCTTTGGAAACGCTAGTTTCACCATCAGCTTTTCTTGCAACAAGGAGAGAAGACAGAGGATTCGTTCCCAATCAGGAACCCAACAATTGGTATTGAGCAAAACTGAGAGGTGTCCAGAGACCCAGAACTGTAAAGGGGAAAAACCACATGACCCATTTTAAAGCTCTGTGTCATCCACGCACACAGCAGCAAAGAAAGCAGACTCTTCGTGTGCGCAAAGACTTTTAATCGATGAGCCTTTGAAAGGAGAAAGAGAGAGAAGAAAGGATTTCAAATACCAAACTCCCACTCAAACTCAGAAATAGCCCAGCCTCTCATAGGTAACTGCCCAGCCTAGAGGCATGGACCAGAGCTAAGCTGCCAGAAGAACAAGTTCAAGGCAAGCCAACAGAAAACCAAGCAGTAGATTCATCAGGGCCCAGGAAGCCGGGAGGGAAAAAGAGACCCCCAAATTTACCATGTACCATCCAAGCTCATGACCACCATTGTCTCTCAAGAGTCCACTTGCCCCGGAGCACAGAAGCCTCTAAGAGCAAAGACCAGGAGCAGCACCCGCCGCCCGCCATGGTCTGCTTCCTCTCCATCCAAACCAATATATAACCCCTTGTTCCTTCCTCCAGCCCTGCAGCCACCTCTTCAGAAAGTCCAACTCATGGCATGCTGAGAGCTGTAATTCAAGATATCTATCATGCTGGTAGTGTGGAAGTGGGGGCAGGGAATTGGCATCTGTTCCTGTGTCCACACAGTGCCCCTCCCTTGTCATGTGACATATCCTGAAACGTACACATTTACCTTTTATGGACCCTTTATTGTCATCTTGGCAATGTCTTTTGTTCAACCAGACACCCACCAAGAGAGTGGACCCACTGAGTTTAGTTACAAACCTTTTCTAAAGAAGGTTTAAATGCATCAAGCTTTGGCCCAGCATTTACCCTAACAGGTCTTCTCACACACTTACAAAAAGAAATCTGCACAAGTGTACTCCTTACAGTGTTGTTGGAGATGGCAAAAACATGGGAAATATGCCCAATATCAATTAACAGAGGGTCATTAATATATGCCAAATGTACCGCCACTGCTGAAAATACGAGGTAAGGCTACATGGGCTGATATGAAACCATATCCGAAATATATTGGCAAAAACTTAAATCTATTATCCAGCCATGAGAAGGGGTAATAACGTGCCACATGCAATGGCAGAGCTCGACATTGGGTGCAATATGCCTTATAAGGGAGATTAGTCTGACAGAGAAAAATAAGTAACTGTGTGATGTCACTTACATGTGAAATTTTTAATAAGTCAAATCTACATAAAACAGTAAATGGGTGCTTGCTAGGGAGTGGGAGTCGGGGATAAGGTTGATGGTATTTAATGGCACAAACTTCCAAGAACAGAGTATAAGACAGAGATCTAATGGACAGTTGCGAAATTGTGATTTGCAGGAAATAGATGCATTTGGTCTCTCGGATGCCCATAATGCATCCCTCACACATACCTGACTTTCAGCCACAGGTGCTGTTTCACACCAACCAGATCTTGAAATTTCCTGCGCCATGAGAACAATGGAAGCATCTTTTTTTCATATTTGTTTTCTTGTGTCCAGTTAGTTCTGGAGAAAGTTCCAGAGCTCTGAAAGTTGAAATGGGAGTCTTGTTACTTTAAATGCTTCTATGACAACGAAGGTAACCTTCGGAAAACACCTGAGGAGGAGGAGCTGGACCCCAGAAACCAACAGGCATATAAAGTAGGACTTTCAGTCCTCCCCATTTCCTGGAAGGGGAGAGGGGCTTGAGGTGGAGTTCAATAGCCAAAGGTCAGTGATTTAGTCCCTCATGCCTATATAATGCAGCCTCCAGAAAAGTCCAAGAGGAGGGGTCTTGAAGCTCCTCCTGGGTGGTGAACTTGAAGACATGGGGAGAATGGCAAATCCAGAGGGCATGGAAAGCCCACTCCTTCCCCCCATATTGCACCCCATGCTTCTCTTCCATTTGCTGATTCCTGTCCTTCAGTTTCTGCGTGAGTGGTTTCCTGAGATCTGTAATTCTAGCAAATTAATCAAACCTGTGGAGGATGTCCTGGGAACTTCTGATTTATAGCCAGTCAGAAACGCAGATGATAATCTGGGGCTTGTTAGGCACTTGAGGTCTAAGGAGTGGTCATGGGGACCCATAAATCCCCTCCCCCTGGCTGGCAAGCAGCACAGCTTGTCTGGGGTTGCAGCTAGATTGAAAGTGATGGGCAGTCTTGGAGGCTGAGCCCTTTACCTATGGAACCTGATGCTATCTCCTGGTAGATAGTGTCAGAATTGAGTTGAATTCTCAGAAACCTAGAATTGCTGGGGTCACAGAATTGCCTGCTTGTATGAGAAGGCCTTGGCACGCCAAACCTGTTGGAAATTGGGTCCAGGAACCCAACAACAGAATTAACAAAAATAGATAACAATCGTGTACTCTAACTATGTGATGTGACAAATGTAACTGTATATTGTACTACACCGGCAGCCAGAGTACAATATACAGATGTAGCAAAGTAACATGCAGCACATCTTAGGTTTACACAATATTAGCCATCAAATTTATTCACTCAAAAATATAATAGGGGGAATTAATTGTGGTAATTTGAGAACTCTACTTGCTTCAAAATCTTCCTGTAAATATAAATCTATCCAAAAATTAAAAATTTATTAATAAAGTTTTTAAAATATAAATCTGCAGAGCAAGTAAGTTACGTTCCTATTTATGTTCAAAAGAAAATAAAATGTATCTGCCCAGATAACTTTTCTGGGAAGGTTAATGGGAAACTATTAGCAGTGGGGCAACTTATGGGGACAGAAGGTGAAGGTGAGGTGACAGCTCACAGCTCTTTTTCTTTCCACTTTACAGTTGTTTGCTGTGTCCTAACTCTTTGTCATTAGAGATCATAATTTTTGAAGACCTGCTTCCTGCCACCTTAGCCTAGGCAAACAAAAGATACAGACCGCTGAGCCACGCCAGTGTTCCCAGGCTTGCGGGCCATGGACCTGTCAAGGACTTACCCACAGGAGTGAGTTCCACTTTACAGTCAAGGTCAAGGTCATCTCAGGGCAATGCTTCTCAACCTTTTCTAAAGAAGCACTCCAAGACCAAACAAAACACTGAATCTCATGGGATACAAGAAATCACCCCAAATCTCTGCCTCAAGCAAAATTTCTTTTGTATACACTGCCTTAAAAATTCAGGCAAATTTTGAATTTTACTCCACAATAGAGTTGTCTTTGTCTTATTGTTTAAAAAAAATAGTTCTTCTCTTCATATCTTATTTGTGGGATTCTGGTCATGATATTAGTAAATTTTTCACTCAAATCACACTACTAAAAATTCTAGATGAAACTTAAAAAGGAAAAATAATATTCCTTGTCAGACTCTAAAGCAAGAGAAGTAGAATGATGATGGGAACTCAAAAGGAGAGACTGGTGGAAAATTGGGGCCTGATCTAGACTGGGAGTTGACAATTTAATGTTAATATGGGGAACAAGGAGTCCAGACTTTACTTAAGCACAGGTGTGATAAACTCTGCTTTAAAATACAGGGCTGGGATTTGCAAAGCATTGCTCCAGACTTGAAATAAGAAACCAGGATGAGACACATTCTACCCCCAGTCTGTGGGTGATAAGGAAACTGGTCATCTTTGTGAACTTTGGAGGAGAAAACACTAGAAATCAGACACTCAGACAAACATAGTCAGCCAGTGTGAATTTATACTATCTGCCTAGCACAGTGGCCTCAAGCTACAACATCAATGTAAAGAGTAGTTCAGCACTAAAGAGAGCCATAAGGGCCCCAGAAGAAGGAAAACCAAAGCTGTTCTGGGAACTGGGACTTAATGCAAGGAAGATAAACAAAGATAACAAACTACATGAAGAACTTAATGGCCCTGAGGGAAAATCATGGATGCCATGGAGAAAACTGCATGTCAAGCATCATAAGGCAATATAATAGGGCAATATAAAAGATAATTAACATGTTTAGAAAGATAATATCAACTGTAAGGACAGAATGAAAGCAGAACTGAGAATTTATCAAACAGAAGTTTAAGAAAGGAAACAAACATTCTATAGGAAAATGCAGCTGATATATTTGCCACAGATGAGGAAAGTACTAGTGAACCAGAAGACTGGAGGATATTATACAACATCTTCAGGAAAATGAAGTGATGGGAAATATTAGAAGTTAAGGAATATGAAATATTTGAAGTTAAGGAACATGAATACTTGAACAGAAAAACAAAATATATCTAAGAGTAATACCCATAGAGAAAAAGAAAGAATCAGGTAGTGTTCAAAGAGATAATGGCTAAGAACTCTTCAAGAGTGAAGAGATATATGAACCCTTGGTTAAAGAACTTTGCCAAACCCTGAGAAGGATAGTGAAAATAAATGCATACCTTGATATATCATAGTAAAGACACAGAATACCAAAGACAAAGAGAAAAATAAATCTTCAATGTTTTATAGAGGAGTGGGGGCAAAATTAACAAGACTAAAGAAGAACTAAATTACACAATAAATAAGAAGAATAGAGAGCCTCTTTTCAAGTGACCACAGAACAAACTTCGAAATTTCAAAGAAACCAAAAAAGAAGAGAAAGCATTCTTTAATGACCATGTAGAAATTAATGTTAAAAAAAAAAAAAAGAAGAACGCTTACTAGCTGGAAAATTTTTTACTTGCTTTCACACAACTATTGATTCAAAGGAAAAAATATAAACTTATCCTACAGAGCAGTTGAAGGTAGCAAGAAGGAAGGAAGAAAGCAAGCAAGGGTGGGCAGGAGGATACCACCACCATCAGTGCTTACATTAATACAGCTACAGCTATAATTTTTTAAATTATTTATGTGGCTGGTATTATATTAGATAGTACTGTAATAGAAAATCCAGTTTGTTAAAACCAACTTCAGAATAAATAGAAAATCTAATAAATAGCTGCAGAGGAGCAAAGGAATTTGTCCAAAAGCATCTTTCTGCTACCTCTGTCAATAAAAACTCCAGACCAAGATGATTTTCCATTAAAGAGCAATAATTCCAAAGTATTTAAATTGTGCCAGGGCATTTTTTTCACTGTTAAAATCTTTTTTTGCCAGAGCATTTTTTTAAAAAGATTTATTTATTTATTTACACAAGCACTGGGTACAGTCAGAAGCGCAGGAAGGTGAGAGAATTCACCAGAGCCAGAGCGGGGAACAGAACAGGCAGACTGATGAAACACACTGCTGAGGGGAGCAGCGGGCGCTGTAGGAGAGGTCTGCGCGCACCATGTGGGACCCTCTCCAGGGGCCAGGGATCGAACCAGCACTGCAAAGGCTGCAGGCAGCTTCGCAGCCCAGTGCTCAACCGCTGCGCCACCAGGGAAGGCCCTTGCCAGAGCATTTTTAAGAGAAAAATTTCCAAAGATTCTTGGTGTGAAATAAGCACAATACCAAAACCTAACAAGGATTGCATACCCAAAAAAACCCCTCATAAATTAATTACACTTATGAATATTAAAGAACAAACAACCAAAAAACACCAAATTAAACAGGGCACTTGAGCTTCCAAGCAGAAGATAAGTCAGAAAGCTCAACACTCTGCAACCGGATAAATCTGAAATAATCTTGTGTTAAAGATAGTGAAGAACCATGAAAACAACAAAAACTAGAGCAAAACTTCCTGAGGACAAAGGGCTCATTAAAGATAATCTGACAATCACCAAGCTGAATGAGCTAATGTCAACTTAGCTCAATCAGAGGACCACTCCATAGGAAAAGGAACAGCACACCTTTTGGTTAGTGCAGTGGATTAGAAATCAAGAGTCCAAACACAGGTCTCCCTGGTGGCACGGGGGTTAAAGTCTCAGCACTATGAAGCTATAGCCAGACACTGCAGCATGAGTTCAATCTCCGGCCAGGGAGCTGACCCACATGGCACAGCAGTCCACTCCTGTCTTACCAGCTGCTGCCCTCAGCAGTGTATTTCAGTAGATCCGACTATTCTGCTCCCCACTCTGTCTCTGGTTAATCCTCTCACTCCCTGCACCTCTGGCCTGTACCCCAGTTCTTGTATGTATAAAAAAAAATTTTTTTTAATCTTAAAAGAGTCCAAACGCAAAGCTAATTTTCCCCATAAAAAAATTGCTACATTCTTGGGTGGTCCAGAAGATTAGTGGTGGGGCTCACAAGTCTGAGGAAAATGTCCTACAGTCTGTAGATGACCAGGAAACAAAGCCCTAGCAGAGGGTGATGCCTGGAAACACATTTCCAGTCTTTCCCTTCAAGACATTTGCGAATTTTTAACTTGCTTGGGGTGGTTGCTTATCTCAAATCCTCCAAACGGCAGAACTTTCAGGGCAAGCCAGAGGTGGAGTGTATCTTACTAAACTAGAATCCAGCCCCAAGCCAACTCAGTCTCTGACTGGAATGAGGCCATCTGCTTTTCCCCTTATCTTCCCAACAGAAGGAAAAGGCTGGGGACCAAAAGAAACTGAACAGAAGCAAAGGAGGAAGCTATTGTTCCCCAATGTAACAGGAAAAAAGAATGAAAGGGCAACCCTCACTAGAGGAAGACACTATCTTCTCTCTCAATCCTCATCTCTATGATTCTAAAATATACGGTAAG